CATTGTAGTCTGTGAAATGTATAAATTCTTTCGTGCCGTAGCTTGCTGTCACTCATGTACAGAAAGAAACATGGGTTAGTTTAACTTCTATATCATTTTGGAATATATAGTTAAAGCTCAATTATTCAACACTGAACAAAGCAAAACTCTTCTATAACTAGCACACTTTATTCAGCTTAAAGGAATAAAGGTCAAGGTTATAGCAGACATCTTTTCAAAGTGCAGTCTTGGGTTTGTTTTAGAGGAAGAACGTATTCCTATTTCATATATTCTGAGCATTTACAGGATTGCACTAAGCAAATTGCATTATGTAAATTGTCTACATCAGAGTTTCTCAAACTAGTATTTGAACCACTTGCATTATTTAAAATGTGGTTTGCTTGACCCCACCCATCCCAATCCATGGCGATGGGGCCTAAGAATCTCCTTTTAAAACAAGCACTGGAAGCAACTCCGTTTGCACATGAAAGTTTGAGAACTGCTGGTCTGGACTGAAAGACCCTGAATTGTTTTCTCAATTATCAGAAGACAATAAAATTATATTTAGAATACTCTTCTTCCTGAGGCAGAAAATGGATTAATACGACACTAAGAATGACAGCAAAATTGCCCTTTTTTAACCAAATGAATCATGTAATTATTAGTCCATTCACTAAGCATTCCTATTAATTGAGATTTACCATATGTAGAAAAGTAAGAGCTTGACTAATTGAAAAAAAAATGAATTTGCAGTAAGCCAGCTGAAAATGGTGATAAGATAGGCTGCTTTTTTTCATTTTTATTTTTTCAATTACAGCTGACATTTACTATTATTATTGGGTTGTCAGAGAAGTCATGATGTATTTTTTCTATGTTTTTCATTGCAAAAATGAGTCATGACTTTTCCGACAACCCAATAGTTTCAGATGTACAGCATAGTGGTTAAACATTTATATAATTTATGAAGTGATTCCCCCCAAAAATTCTAGTACCCATCTGGCTCCATACATAGTTATTACAATATTATTGACTATATTTTTTGTACTTTCTATCCCCATGACTACATTGTAACTACCAATTTGTACTTCTTAATCTCTTACCCTTTTTTACCCAGCCCCCACCCTACCCCATCTGGGGATCATCAGTTTGTTTTCTGTATGAGTCTGTTTCTGTTTTGTTTGTTTATTTTGTTCTTTAGATTCCACATATAAGTGAGATCATATGGTATTTGTCTTTCTCTGTCTGACTTATTTCACTTAGCGTAAAACCCTCTAGGTTCATCCATGTTGTCACAAACAGTAAGATTTCATTTTTTTTTATGGCTGAGTAATATTCTTATATATATACATATACATATATATATATATATATATATGTATATGTATATATATATCACCTCTTCTTTATCCAATCGTCTATTGATGGGCACTTGAGTTGCTTCCATATCTTGGCTATTGTAAATAATGCTGCAGTGAACATAGGGATGCATATATCTTTTTGAATTACTGTTTTGAGTTTATTCAGATACATACCCGGAAGTAGAATTGCTGGGTCATAAGCTAGTTCTAGTTTTAATTTTTTGAGGAAGCTCTATACTGTTTTGCATAGTGGCTGCACTGGTTTGCAGTCCCACCAACAGTCCATGGGGGTTCCCTTTTCTCCACATCCTTGCCAACACTTGTTTGTTGACTTTTTGATAATAGTCATTCTGACAGGTGTGAGGTGAGATCTCATTGTGGTTTTCATTTTCATTTCTCTGAGGACTAGTGACATTGAGCATCTTTTCATGCCTACTGGCCATCTGTATGTCCTCTTTGGAGAAATGTCTATTCAGGTCCGATGCCCATTTTTTAATTGGATTGTTAGTTTTTTTGGTGTTAAATAGCTTGAATTCTTTATAAATTTCGGATATTAATTCCTTGTCAATAATATCATTGGTGAATATATTCTCCCATTAAGTACATTGTCTTTTCATTTTGTTGATGATTTCCTTTGCTGTGCAAAAACAATTCAGTTTGATATAGTCCCATTTGTTTATTTTTTCTTTTGTTTCCTTTGCCTGAGGAGATATACCCAAAAAAATATTACTAAGGGCAGTGTCAAAGAGTTTACTGCCTGTGTTTTCTTCTAGGAGTTTTTTGGTTTCAGGTCTTAGATTTAAGTCTTTAATACACTTTGAGTTTATCCTGGTGTATGGTGTAAGAAAGTGGTTGAGTTTTATATTTTTGCATGTATCTGTCCAGTTTTCCCAACAGCATTTATAGAAGAGGTTGTCTTTAACCCATTGTATAGTCTTGCTTCCTTTGTCATAGATTAATGGACCATATAGGTGTGAGTGTATTTCTGGGCTCTCTGTTCCATTGATCTATGTGTCTGTTTTTATGTCAGTTTTGATTCCTATAGCCTTGTAGTATAGTTTGATATCAGGTATCATGTTACCTCCAACTTTGTTCTTTTTTCTCAATTGCTGTGGCTATTCGGGGTCTTTTTTGGTTCCATATAAATTTTAAGTTTCTTTGTTCTAGTTCTGTGAAAAAATACCATTGGTATTTTGATAAAGATTGCATTGAATCTATAGATTGCTTTGGGTAGTATGGACATTTTAATGATGTTAATTCTTTCAATCCATAAGGATGGTATATGCTTCCATTTATTTGTATCTTCTTTAATTTCATTTTTTAAATGTCTTATAATTTTCTAAGTATGGGTCTTTTACCTCCTTGGTTAAATTTATCCCTAGGTATTTTCTGTTTCTCTTTGATTCAGTCTTGCTAAGTTGTATGTTTATAGGAATTTATCCATTTCTTCCAGATTGTTGAATTTGTTGGCATATAATTGTTCATACTATTTTCTTATAATCCTTTATATTTCTGTGATGTCAGTTGTCATTTCTCCTTTTTCATTTCTGTTTTTCTTTATGTAGGTCCTCTCTTTTTTTCTTGATGAGTCTGGTTAAAGGTTTATCAATTTTGTTTATATTTTCACAGAACTAGTTCTTGGTTTCATTGATATTTTGTATTTTTTTTTAGACTCCCTTTTATTTATTTCCACTCTGATCTTTATTGTTTCCTTCCCACTACTCACTTCGGGCTTTATTTGTTCTTCTTTTTCTAGTTCCTTTACATGTAAGGTTAGATTATTTGAAATTTTTCTTGTTTCTCAAGGTAGGCCTGTATTGCTATGAATTTCCCTCTTAGAACTGCTTTGGCTGTGTCCCATAGATTTTTGGGGTCATATGGTTTCATTTTCATTTGTCCCAAGGTATGTTTTGATTTCTTCTTTGATCTCATCGTTGACCCATTCATTGTTTAGTAGCACGTTATGTAGCCTCTTTGTGCTTGTGTTTTTTTCAGTTTTCTTCTTGTAATTGATTTCTGGTTGTGATCAGAGAAGATGCTTGGTATGATGTCAGTCTTCTTAAATTTGAGACTTGTTTTGTGGTCAATCCTGGAAAATGTTCTATGTATGCTTGAAAAGAATGTATATTCTGCTGTTTCGAGGTGAAATACTCTAAAAATATCAATTAAATCCATTTGGTTTAATGTGTCATTTAAGGCCACTGTTTCGTTGTTGATTTTCTGTCTGGGTGATCTGTCCATTGATGTCAATGGGGTGAAAAGTTCCCCTACAATTACTGTATTACTGTTGATCTTTCCCTTTTTGTCCATCAATATTTGCTTTATATATGTAGGTGCTCCTAGTTGGGTGCATAAATACTTAATACTTAACAAGGGTTATAACCTCTTGTTGGGTTGATCCCTTTATCATAAAATATCCTTCTTTGTCTCGTTATAGCCTGTGTTTTAAAGTCTATTTTGTGTGATATAAGTATTACTACCCCAGCTTTTTTTTTTTCATTTCCATTCACATGAAATATCTTTATCCCTTTACTTTTTTTTTTTAAGATTTTATTGGGGAATTGGGAGAGGGGAACAGTGCTGGGGAATCGGGGAAGGGTAGCAGACAAGTTGCTGTTCTTCGGTTCTTCAGTCTAATTGTGGAGGATGTCGCCTCACTGGCCCATGTTGGTATTATCATTGTGCTCTTCCCGGGTGAGGCAGATCATTCACTGGCCTCTGGACGGCCGCTCACAGTGGCTTTTGGCAGCTCACACCGGCTGCCGGCCTCTCACGCTGGCTGCTGGCCACACACAGAAGCTTATGGCAGCCCACTGCAGCAGGGGCTGCAGCCTATGCCGTCGCCGGCAACCCATGGCATCCTCCAGGTTGAGCTGTTGTTCACCATCTTAGCTGCAGAGGGCAGTGTTACTGGCCCTCATGTGGAATCCGAACCGGGGCCCTGCTGCACAGAGCTGGCGTCCCAAGCCAGCTCTTAACCAACGCGCCACTCGGCCGGCCCATCACTTTACATTCAGCCTGTGTGTGTCTTTCGATCTGAAGTGAGTTTCTTATAGGCAGCATATTTAAGGGTCTTGTTTTCTTATCTATTTGGCCACCCTATATCTTTTTACTTAACCTTAAAGGATTATTGGTAGGTATGTAGTTATTGCCATTTTATTTTTCATGTTTATGATTATTTTTATTATTTTTTCCCCTTCTTCTTCTTAAAGGAGTCCCTTTAAAATTCTCTGTGATACTGGTTTGGTGGTGATGAACTCCTTTAGCTTTTTCTTGTCTGGGAAAGATAAGCTTCTTTGAGAGTACTGAGGGCAGCATCGAGATGAGCTGCCTACTTTGGTAACACTTGATGTTCTCTTTCTAAATCCTTGTGAAGTGTCCCCATTTCTAAGATGGAGTGAAAAAGAAATCTATGTCAAAACACTACAACACCATTCCAGCATTGTGTTAACTTTGCTTCCTTATCAAAAGACAATGCTGTTTGCTCCTTCCTCTCATGACACTCTGTGTTTTGGGGTGTCTTATTACTTAAGTCTTAACATGTGGTGTCCACGGCTTCTTAAAGCCTGTGCAGCTGAAGGTGTCAGCACAAGAGGTCTCATTGTTCTGAGTCTATTTTCTAAACATTTTGGATTTGACCATAACTGTCCCCCTTCCCCACAGGGCAAAGATGTAACATTGACATTGATGAGTGTGCCTCCAATCCCTGTCGCAAGGGTGCCACGTGCATCAACGATGTGAATGGTTTCCGCTGTATATGCCCTGAGGGGCCCCATCACCCCAGCTGCTACTCACAGGTGAACGAGTGCCTGAGCAATCCGTGCATCCACGGGAACTGTACTGGGGGCCTCAGTGGGTAAGTAATTGCCGTGTATTAATACTTTCTTGTGGACCTGTGTCAGCCAGTTGGGTTTAAGCCCTGGCCATCCCCTGTAGAAGCCAGTCAGCAACTTGAGCTGAAACCTGGCTGAGCAGTTTGATTGTCTGCTTCATAATCTTCCCAGTTACCCCTTCCCTACCTCCCATGACCAAGCAGGTAGAAACAAAGGAGGAAATCTTCCCTCCTGTGGGTAGTCAGCACCTGGGAGGTGTCCAGGGTTGTTTTCTGAGTCCTTAGCAATGGTGCTTTTAATACTTATTGCAAGGTTAAGTTCTAAGGGATGTTCTCTCTGATTTTTTTCCCTGCTTAAAAAAAAAAAAAGTTCAACTCTGTTCTGGCACACCACCAGTGTGTGCCGCTAAAGCAGAGTTGGCCTCTGCCAGCGTTAGACATGGCCCTCATAAAACGTTCGTAGTTTGCAAGCCCTATGGAGTTATGTGATATGTTGGTAGGTGACTTTCTAGAATCACAGAGTGTGACATTAAGTCCCACGATGTAGTCCTCTATTCTTCCTATGGCTGCCAGAGGACAGGGCTCTGGGCATTACCATCTGCCGTTTTTAGAAGAGGTGAAAGAATGAATTTAAAGAATTTAAAGGCAAATGGGAGGTGAGGTGACTTCCAAGAGGAATGACCTCAGCGTTTATGTCTTGGAGATGGCAGCCTTCAAAGCATCCCGACCCATCCACACTTTCCCTAAGGACCTCCAGACAAGGAGGCTATCTCCTGAGACCACGTTCTAAGTGCTAATGATGTTTGAATTGTGAATAATGTCCACACGTTTCAAATACCTTCATTTTTTTGCCTTTTCCTGCTTCATACCCTAGATGCTTCCTGGGGCAGGGTTTCAGGTGAGAACAAAACATAGAAAGTCAGGCATGCCAGGAGATCTTCAAAGTGAGTTAAAGGCTCTCATACTAGCCTACTTCCTGGGTGTCTGTGTTGTACCAGGAACAATTGATCCTAAAGTTTCTTTACTTTGGTTTTATCTATAAGAAAAGCAACTGTGCAGATTTACCCATGTTAACAAGTCTTTCAGATTGGCCCACTGTGTTGTAACAACAACCACTCCTTACATATGAAAGCTCCCTGTAATGAATTAATTTTTCTAGCATCGTTATGAACCAGGGAAGCACCAGGAAAGTGTGTTTGCTGAGTACTCCAAATGGGCCACTTGATTCTCACCGTGTCCGCGTGTAGGTCCCGAGAAGAGCAGAAATGGGCTTTGCTCATGAGCGCCTCTGGCTCTCGTTTCTTCACCAGGACCTGTATTTCAATGCCGACTCAGTTGTACATTCATCCCCCATGGTTCATAATTTTACCTTTCAGATACAAGTGCCTCTGTGATGCAGGCTGGGTTGGCGCCAACTGTGAAGTGGACAAAAACGAATGTCTTTCTAATCCGTGCCAAAATGGAGGGACTTGTGACAACCTGGTGAACGGGTACAGGTGTACTTGCAGGAAGGGCTTTAAAGGTGAGGGCAGAGGTGCACATTTCATCTCCCTTCCCTGCCTTTTTGTGTCGCGGACTGTTTGCGCCTCTTGTCCCTTCCCCTTTCTTTTTGTCTATCCATTCATATGGCAAAGATAATTTGAGCACTTAATATGTATAAGACACTTGGGGAATAAAAACATAAACAGCTATAGATTCCACTTGCAGCCTAGGAGAGGTTATTGAAACAGTACTCTTTCAGGTGAGCAGCTAGGACTCCACTTAACACGACTTCGGGCAGGTGTTCTAAGTGTAAGCTTCTTGGTGCAGGTTTGGTTCTCTGATCACTCAAAAGAGATATTGGTAGTAGAATGAAAATATTGTCTTACTGTAATTTTGATCACAATCATATCATGGAAGAACCCATGGGTTCAAAACCCAACAAATTATTTTACACAATGAAATATTCTTAGATACATGGTCACCTATGGCCTCTGGAAAAATGCGTAATAATGGGTATTGTGTAAAATCATTTTTTGAATGGTCACTGTTGTATTTATACCATCAGTGTTGTCTTGGACACTCATGAGAGAGAACTCTGTGGGTGAATCATTTATATTGGCACTCTATTCACTTAGTCATGGATTTTCCTAACTCAAAAATTGTGCCGGGGGCGCCGGCTGAGTGGCACAATGGTTGAGAACTGACTTGGGACGCCAGAGGGCCCTGGTTCGGATCCCACATATGAGGGCCAGTGACACTGCCCTCCATAGCTAAGATGCTAAACCACAGCTCAACCTGGAGCTGGGCTGCCATGAGTCACCGGCGACGGCATAGGCTGCCACAGCTAGATTGAAGAACAAAATGACAGCAACTTGTCTGTTCCCCTTCCCCCAATTCCCCAGCACTGTTCCCATCCTCTAATTTCCCAATAAAAATCTTAAAAAAAAAAAAATCGTTCCAGGCTACTGCGAATCATCAGTGTGTTTCAGTCACTTTATTGGATTCCTTGAAAATTTTCTGAGACCATCTTTTAGTCATTCATGTAGTGACATATTACATTTACAAAGAAACATATAAATTAAAAAGCGCTTTTATTTCTTGATCTCACTGAGACTTGCAAATCAACAAACAAAATAAAAATCAAAACGTACCACCCGTAGTTGCCTGGCTATTGAGTAGCCAGACCCCTGTGCTCCCTGGGCGTGTTTTTTTAATAGTTCCTCCATTTTAAGGCTCTGTGCCAGGCCCTATTGAAGAGGCAAAGGTGTATGATATTTGTGTACTGTCCTAGCCCCATTAGTGGTCTTTACCTTTCTCTTTTTCATACTGGGAGTAGATATCTCGGACCAGAGGAAGATATCTTTGTGGTTTCTGGAATACCACCACGTCGATAGCAGAGACTGTGCATATGAGAGAGGGCACAACCCCGAGGCTTTGATTACTGTATCAAAAAACGTTACCCTTTGATAACTTCTACCCCCTTTTTAAGCCCAAAGCAGATACTTTGTATAGAAAGAGTGTATATTTCAATACAGCAGCAGATTTTTTACCTTAACGAACTTCTTGGTACATGTCAGAGAAATTCCTTGGGCTGTATTTGGAGATGCACTAGACTTTCAGGCTATTAGACTATATTGCTCTTCCAGTCATCTGTTTGACTGGTGAAGCACTGACTTTTACTGATGGACTGTATGTCAGTGACTTGTCACTGAAACAAATGAAAAGGTGTTTCAGTGGCCTGAAGAAATTAATGCAGTTCTGAGGTGTTTCATATTTCCCACTGAAAGGATTGCTTAGTAATTGAGATAATGAGGAGGAGGCTACCAGAAAGTTTCACCATTTTTGGTTTTTCTTATTTTCCGTCTACAGGCTATAACTGTCAGGTGAATATTAATGAATGTGCTTCAAATCCGTGTCTGAACCAAGGAACCTGCTTTGATGACATAAGTGGTTACACTTGCCACTGTGTGCTGCCATACACAGGTGAGTCCTGCAGGTGAAGGGCCCAATGGGGATGCTTGGCCTTGCCTTGTCGTTGCAAACCCCTGAGTCTCAGAGACGGAACCCGTCTGCTCTGAGGACTCGCTCGCTGGTCACCTGTCCTGCTCACACCGGATCTTTTTTTTTTGTTTTAGTTTTATTTTTTTATTGTGATATAAACATTTTTTAATTATTTTAGCTGTACAACACAGTGCAATAGTTATACTTTTTACCCCTCAAAATGACAAACCCCCCAAATCCGTCACCCCACTCCCCCCCATATCATACATATCTATTACAATTCCCTTGACTCCACTCCCACACTATACTCCATGTCCCATGACTATATATATATATATATTTTTTCAATTATAGTTGACACACAATATTATTCAACATCAGCTTCAGGTGTACAGTGCTGTGATCAAGGCTCTACCCCATCCATGAATTGGTCTCCCTAACAAGATATGTGACCATCTGACACCCTACAAAATATCTACAACATTATCAATTATATTCCCCTGTCTTTCCTATCCCTGTGGCAATATTGTAGTTACCTATTTAGGCTGTCTAATCCCTTCCCCTTCTCCCTCATCTCCACTCCCCTCCCAAACAGCAACCATCAGTTTTTCCTCTATTTATGAATATGAGACTTTCTGTTTTTTGCTCGTTCAGTCAGTTTTTCAGATTCCACATATAAGTGAGATCATATGGTATTTGTCTTTCTCCAACTGACTTATTTCACTTAACGTAATAGTCTGTAGGTCCATCCATATCCTTGCAAATGGTACGATTTCATTCTTCTTTATAGCGGAGTAAGACTACATTGTATAAATGTACCACAGTTTCTTAATCCAGTCTTTTACCGATGGGCATTTCAGTTGTTTCTGAGTCTTGGCTATTGTAAGTAGCGCTGCAGTAAACAGAGGGGTTTATATATTTCTTTCCTGGTGCACTGTTGGTGGGACTGTGGATTGGTGCAGCCATTATGGAAATCAGTATGGAGGTATCTCAAAAAACTGGAAATGGAACTGCCGTATGACCCAGCAATTCCACTCTTGGGTATCTATCCAGAGAAACTTAAGACGTTAATTTGAAAAAATATATGCACTGACTGGATCTTGAACTCTAAAAAGACACTGTGGCTTCCGTACATGCAGTGCTGGGGAAACTCATTTGTGTTCTTTGTACTGTTGGGTTTGAAATGGCTGATGATATGTGGCTGGGACTGATGCAGAGCTAATGGTTTAGTCTGTTATCTGAATGGACCCAGTGTCCCCATGGCCTGTGCTCTTAGTCTGAGTTTCAGTAACACAACAACCACCACTTATTGGTAATTGACTGTGTGCCAGACACTTTATATACTTTGGATTATTCACAATAACTCTACAAAGTAGAAGTTCCTGTCCCTATTTTATACATGAAGAAGCCAAGGCGAAGAGAGGTTCCTTGCCGAAGGTCACACAGGTGCTTGGGAGATGTAGGATTAGCCCCTGAATCTCTCTGCAGCCAACGCTTGTCTTCTTAACTGCCGTTCTTCTCCTCACGTTCAGTACCACCACGTCTCCTTCAGAGAGGAGTTGCCCTGGATGGCGAGCACACACAGAAGACATGCGTGTGACTTCATTCCCTCTCAGGTGTTCTTTGTTTCGGGTGGTATTTTAGGAATGTGCTTGGATGTTTATTTCTCCTTTGTGTCCGCCTGCCTTGTTCCTGCCATCTTGTGATTGGTTGTATCTGTGTGGCTTGTTTACCTCCACATCATCTTTTTTTTTTTTTCCCATCTGTGGGGAACAAAGCCAAAACATGGCCAATGGCTTTGCATGTTTTTCCAGTGTGCAGCATGCGGAGTCCTTACTTCCTGGGAGTCTTGGGCTGGTCATAAGCGCTGTTACTGGTGACTTGAAGCAGTGTAGAGTGGCCCAAAGCATGACTCCATTACCTGAGAGACTTGATACCACATTCTTTAGAAATGTTCATGTAGGGAAACTACATTTCACCAGCCTGGTTGATAAAATCAGAGTTACCGGAGATCCGTAGCTATCCCCAGACAAAGACAGTCAAAATCATATCATTCCTTCATGACAGAGCTGATCACGTTTGTTGGTCTTGAGATCGTCTCACCTACAACCATAAAAGACTGAGAACTGACGGCTCTGGGGAGATGTCAGCAGGTGCCACTATTGTCAGCCGCATCCGAGGCTTACCTGAGTGTGACTTAGGTGTGCAGCTCAGCTTGAAAACGTTTATGTTGCCTCCTTGCTATTCAGATACTACAGGAATATTTGATTATATGCCGGATATTGGTTTTTCTTCAGATTAGGATCCCAATAAAAGAATTTACTATGCATGAACTTTGAGAAATTATACTAGACTGAAAGCCTACACAGATTAAAATGTCAGCACTGAGAGGAGCTAAGGGTTCTAAGAGTCACTGAGTTTGGCCACCATGAAAGAAACTGAACGACATTGCCTTCCCTTGTCAGCCACTGTTCTGACTGGACTCATTAAACACTGGTTGGGGATATTGGTGAAAATTTGTGGTAATTTTTTTTCTTTCTGAACACAAACTTTTAAGATAAAATTGTAAATTGAATTAGTTGTAACTTGACTTTGAAAACCACCTCATCTTCTTTTTAATAAAAGCAGGGTTTTTTGGGGTGTTTTTGTTTGTTTGTTTGTTTGTTTTTTGCTGGAATCTTATATTCCACATAAGGCAGAAAATATTGGTGGACAAATACCAATGTCACATTGTTGATGTTGGTGTAAGGATATATGTCGCTAGGCAGTCAGAATTACTTCACTGCTCCCACCTCTGATGGCCTTCTGATCAGCCCCACTGCCTTCTGGGACAGGCCAGCAGTGGCTGTGAGGAATAGGAGGCCATATTATTGTTTCTTCCTTGCTCACATGAAGGAGGATCTGTGTGGCTGAGCTTCTGAGCAGCTGACTCTTAGCTCCTGATTGATGCAGGTGTCCACATGCACTTACCCACTCATGATAATAATGTGAAGATGACAGCTGCCCACCAGTTGAACACTCACTCAATGTGCCAGACTGTATGCTAATAAGGACTTTGTAAGCATTTTCCCTTTAACCCTCAAAAAGCCTCTGTGAGTTACGTACCATCCTAATTTCCATTTTACTTATGTGGAAGGCTCAGAGAAGATAAATAACGTACCTGAGGTCACACTGTTAGTAATCAAATCAGAGCCAAGACTTAGAGGGCCTTCTTCTCAGGGTCCAAAGCCCTTAACTGTGACTTTAGAGTTGCTTTCGGAGAGCATCCTTTGGTATAAAATTTGAGAGCATTTCTGTGTCATAAACTCGTTTTTTTTTTTTTGTCATTTTCTTTGCAGGCAAGAACTGTCAGACTGTATTGGCTCCCTGTTCCCCAAATCCTTGTGAGAATGCTGCTGTTTGCAAAGAGGCACCAAATTTTGAGAGTTACACCTGCCTGTGTGCTCCTGGCTGGCAAGGTAACAACACGGGAGTGGAGGAGCCAAAAGTGACACACAAAGTGGTCAGGTCATTAGATGCCATGGAAAGCCCTGGTCTTCGGAGACCTGCCCTTTGTCGAGGGCACAGGCTTTGTACAGGAGCTGCTGCCAGAACGACTTAGAAAGCCTTTCCGTTTTGCATGTCTGTGGGGCCCCCTAGTGGCTGGAAGACTCCAACCTGAGTCTGAAACCATGATGTCCCAACAGAGAATTTTGGGGCCTGGGCAGCAACTTGCCAGGGGCACAGAAGCCTTAAGGGACTTCCCAAAGCAGGACACCAACCAGCATACCCTTGGAATAGGCCCATCCACCCCAGCCAAAGCTCAGGCCCCACATACATATCTGTGGGAATCAGCTTCCAAAGACCAGACCATCCTGTGTTCCTAGGTCAGCGGTGCACCATTGACATCGACGAGTGTGTCTCCAAGCCCTGCATGAACGATGGTCTCTGCCATAACACCCAGGGCAGCTACATGTGCGAGTGTCCTCCAGGCTTCAGTGGCATGGACTGTGAGGAGGACGTCGATGACTGCCTCGCCAGTGAGTATGCCGGCGGCTCCTGAGCCCACTGAGGCGGGCAGGGAGGAAAGCACAGGGGACCGAGAAGAAGTTAGTGGAGGGGACTGACTCAGTAGTTCCTCACGTGTCTTAAACATTAGTATTTTTAAAACCTTCTTTTTGAAGCTTTAGGCGTTGAGGCGTTAGAATCTCTTATAAGCATTCCCTTTACTGATTTACATTGACAAAGTGGAGATAGTGCTATGGTAGCTTTTTTTTTTTTAAGCAGATCTATTGAGATAGGATCAACATATAATACACGGCCACTGTTTTAAATGTACAATTCAATAAGTTTTGACATATGGCAACTGAAACCATCACTCAAAGATAATGAACATATCCATCCTCCTAAACGTATTCTCATCTCTTTTGTAATTTAATCCTCCTTTCCACGTCCCTGTCCCAGGCAACCAGGGATCTACCTTTGTCATTATAGATTTGTTTGCATTTTTCACAGCTTTATATAAATGGAACCATACAATGCAAACTCTTTTGGGGAGAGGGAACGTGACCTCTCTCACCCAGCATATTTTTTGAGACTCATCCATGTTGTGTGTATTGCTAGTTCATTGTTCTACTGCTGAGTAGTATCCCATTGTTTGGATATAGTACAATTCACTAGCAGAACATTTGGCTTTTTTTCCAGTTTGGGGGTATTACAAATAAAGCTGATAGGAATGAGTGTGGACATATGATTGCAGGTCTCTTGAGAAAATAGCTAGATGATAGATTATGTGGTAGGTATATGTTTAACTTTTTACACAATTGCCAAAATGTTTTCTAAGGTGGCTGTACCATTTTCACTCCCACAGGCATTGCATGAGAGTTCTAGTTATATTACATCCTCAGCAATACTTAGTGTGATTACTCATTTTCATTTTAACCATTCTAATGGGTGCATGTGGCATTTCACAGTGGTTTTAATTTGCATTTCTCTGTTTACTAATGATGTTGAGTATCTTTTCATGGGCTTATTGGCCAGATGTATATCTTACTTAGTGAAATGTCTATTCAAATCTTCTGCCCATTTGAAAAATTGAGTGTTTGTCTTATTGTTGAGCTGAGAGAGTTCTTTTTATCCTAGATACAAATTATTTGTCAAATATTTGCTTTATAACTTTTCTCCCCAATTTATAGCTTCTGTTTGATTTTCTTTTTAAGAGGAAGACTAGTTTTAATAAAATTCAGTATACCTATAATTTTCTTTTTTTTCATGTTTCTTGTATCTTGTTTAACAAATCTTTGCCTAACAAAAGGTCACTGAGGTTTATCTTCGTTGACTTCTTCGAAAAGTCTTGCACTTTTAGCATTGACCTTTAAAGGTCCACAATCTATTTTGAGTTAATTTTTATATATAGTGTGGTTTTAAAGGTTTTTAAAGATAATTTTGTTTTTTAGACTTGCTACATTCACTTATTATTAATTCTAGATTAGTTTATCTTGCAGTTTAGTTTTGTTTCCTAGGGTTTTTGGTTTTTTTACAGATATTATCTCTAAATTAATGCAACCACTATATCTTCTATGTCTTTTCAGATCTTTATGCATTTATTTTTCTTGCATTATTGCAATTTACTAAGTTCTAGGTACAACCGATGGGAAAATTTAAGGGAGTGGGATCAAACTATTTGGATTCCTTCCCCACATTAATTAGGATATCCGTCAAATATTTCAGTATTAATTTTTTTTCCTATTTACAGTAAGTCTAGCAATATATACAAGTACAATAATTTAAAATAATTCAGTAAATTACAGTGAGTTGCCTGAAAGACACAATGGAATTTAGAGTAGCTGTGTACTGTGTTTTTTGGATAAGGAGGGAATATATAATTTTCGCAATTGCTCCAGAAGAGATTGCAGATGAGACTCAGAATGAAATCAGCCTAATAGACGAATAGGGTGAATTAAATGTTCCCCTTTCAAAGTAGGGGCTGCATTAACCACCTGGTGTTTAGTTTTCTTTTTATGTTTATGACCTGTCTTTACAATTATATTTTAAGGTCCTTAAGCGCAGGGGCTACCTCTTATGTTTTTGTTCTGATTGGCATGCCGTCTGAATTGCAGAGGATGGTGCCATGATGGTAGCTCAAAATTTGTTGATTAACTGATATGAGTGTAACATGTTCGAAGATTGAGCTATGTGATATTTAAAATTTAAAAAAAAGAACAACTTTGTTACCTAATTCTACCTAAATCTAAGAAACAAAAAAGGAAGAGGAAGAATGAATGGAAGGAAGGCAGGCAGGAAGGAAGGAAGGAAGGAAGGAAGGAAAGGAAAGGAAAAAGAATGATGGATCAGTACAGGGGACTGGTTAATACACAAGTACATTGTGCCCTATCCCACCCATTCCACCACCACCTACAACTGTTGAAAATCTTGATTGACATTTTTGAGATTCTGTGTGTGTTAGGGGCCCGTATTTGATTTGCAAAGCTGTGAGGGGACCAATGAAAGTTTCCTGACTCTTAATTTTGTGAAACTATTAGTGGTGTCTATAAAGTTACCTCCAATTATCAGACACGATAAGAATCTCAGGCAAGTGTCGTTGCATTCATTTTCATAAATGGAGGAGTCGGGGCAAAAAGACATAAGGAAAAGTCCAAGTGCAGAAAATTGTTACAGTTCTTATTGTGATTCAGTTCAGGTCACTCACCTTTATGAGTCTGAGAGTAAACAGCTGCTGCTGTTCAGAGCTCTGATTCTCGTGTGTGATGATTTAGATCCTTGCCAGAATGGAGGTTCCTGTGCAGATGGAGTGAATACCTTCTCCTGCCTCTGCCTGCCGGGCTTCACGGGGGATAAGTGTCAAACAGACATGAATGAGTGTCTAAGCGAGCCCTGTAAGAATGGAGGGACCTGCTCCGACTACGTCAACAGTTACACTTGCAAGTGCCAGGCGGGATTTGATGGAGCCCACTGTGAGAACAACATCAACGAGTGCACTGAGAGGTACCAGTGTCTTATGGGAAAGGGGAGAAAGGACTGGGAACTACAAAGTGCAATACTGGGATTGTGGGGCTGGGAACAAGGCACTGCTTGGGACCCAGTCCACAATCCCGTCCTATTGCCCAGTTCCTGGTTCCTTGTAGACACATAGTAAGTGTTGCCAAGCTTGGTGGGATGGACCGTCATTTATTTCTTGCATAAGGAGCAGAAAGAGCTACAACTCTGCTCCATTCTCCTTTTGTTTATTTGAGTTGACAGTTGAGGAATTCCAATTTCTTTACAGATTTGTCATCACTCTGGGAGGGTTTTTTCTGTTTTTTTTTAATTATCACTAGTTTTTTCTGTTTCTCTTTCATAGAGAAATCTAGAGTCTATGTATTTATGTAACTATGTATTTAGCACTTTTCTTGTGAACAGACTTAGGGAAAATGAAATATGGCACATGGAAAACTGCAGAAGGACTGGGTAAAACCTGGAAACCTTCACTTCCTCTAGGAATCTCTAGTAAGGTCAGCCTTTTAAATACTCCTCTAAGCCTCTTGGTTGTAGAAAGGAAGCTGGGGCTCAAGGCCAATGGGCCTAGTTTGGAAAAAGGTAAAATCTACTGAATGTGGGCGTTTGGAGTGCCCAGGGGTATTGGCCTGAGTAGCACCTGGGGTTCCAGGAGCCTTCCTTCCGAAATGGCAGGTCAGAGGAACCAGATGACACAGCTGATGTTCCTCTCCCTGCTTGCCTCTTAGCTCCTGTTTCAATGGCGGCACGTGTGTCGATGGGATTAACTCCTTCTCGTGCTTGTGTCCCGTGGGCTTCACTGGCCTCTTCTGCCTCCATGAGATCAATGAGTGCAACTCTCACCCATGCCTGAATGAAGGAATATGTGTCGATGGCCTGGGCACCTACCGCTGCACCTGCCCCTTGGGCTACACTGGGAAAAACTGCCAGGTAATTAATCCATCCCATTCACTCAGCTCCCTCAGGGTTGCAGAGTGTTACACTGATTTTGTTTCTACACAGACTAAGCCCCTCCTAAAAGAGAAAATTCTGGGTCTCAGGGATGTCCCTGAGATCAATCTGGATAACTTCTTCATAGCTGGTAGATTCCAAAATGGCGACACTGCCAAGATTATATGGATTCACCAACATAAGATCGTGGTCACAGGCTAACCAAGAACTGCAGAAAAATACATGTGGGACATACATACATTGATATCATTTCAATTGGAAATACAAAAAGGGAAGTAAAGAACGATCCAAATTAAATCTTTAAAGGTCAGATAAGACATCTAAGGGGATAATAACAATTAGCATGTCTTACAGCATTGTAACATTCTCTAAACCAAGCTATTCACATATGCTTTAAATTCAAATATATAAATATACTTTTTCATAGACTCTTAGGATGGAAGGCCCCCTCAGAACCAACTATTATAGCCTGGCCTTTCGTTTCACAGAAGAAGAAACTGGGTCCCAGAGGGAAAAATAGCCCTTCCAAGGTGGCACACCAAACACTGGGTTTCTCTTTATGCTATTGTACCTCTTAAAACAATGATAAAATGACAAAATTACAGAACTCTAGAGAATGGAGGAATTCATGGCCAAATTTAACTAGCCTGATAGGGTGTACTTCACTACAGCTTCGGCTGTGCTGGGCATGCAAATAGCCACCTCTGCACATTATCCAGCTTGTTGCCAATTCCGTGGGTCGGGAGGACATTCTTCACTGGGTTCCTGCTCATTTTCGTGGCGTGAGGTTATAAATGCTGGTGGGGCGCTCTGCCCTTCCCCCACTGGCCCTTTCTTTCACACGCAGCCTGTATTGTGAATTTGGCCTTCCTCTCTCTCCCCGGAGGCCAACCCACCACATGTGAATTGTGGAGAAAGGTGCTCATCCGCTTGCATGCCGCCTCAGGTTTTCCATAAACCTGATCTTCTCCCCTCAAAATAAGCTTTTGGACCATTTTCAGGTTTATGAACAGGCTTGAAGTGCCCTTACCCATAGTCACCACAGACAGATTTGCTCAGGATTCCTGTGGGTTTCTCACACAGGATTAGCATAGGGAGTTAAGGTCTGACAGCTTGAACTCTCTGGCTTTCTAGCCCTACAGGGTGGCCATACATCTAGACATAATCGTGACATAGAGAATAACTCAACCTATGGGGTTTCCTCAAATTCTTAAACTTCTGTGGTAAGAACTTTTTAAATAGCAGAGCCAAGAGGAATTGGGCGATATAAGATGATTAGACGACCGGGAAATACTGAATCTAGGTTAAGGCTTGGGTGAGGGCTTTAAATAAAAAAATAATAATAAATTAGCATGCTTTTCTTTGATTTCTTAAAATGCTGTGTAACTTATTTTATTCACTTCCAGTGTGTGGCTGTTAACATATGAGTTTGTCTGTTTCAGACCCTGGTGAACCTCTGTAGTCGATCTCCATGTAAAAACAAAGGGACTTGTGTTCAGGAAAAAGCAGAATCCTGGTGCCTGTGTCCCTCTGGCTGGGCTGGTGCATACTGTGACGTGCCCAACGTTTCCTGTGAGGTGGCAGCCTCCCGCAGAGGTGAGCCCCCCCACACACACACACACACTCCCCGGCTCCAGGCTCATTCCCTGAAGGATTGACTGAGCCCCGGCATTTTAGGGCAGGTGCTGTTATTGTGGGATGACCAGGAGTGGGTGGGTAAGGCTCTGGGAAAAGGGTCTGAGACAGAAGGTGAAAGGGCAGAGGAACAGCTTTAGAGATTCAAAAAAGAAATGTATTCGTGTACCACCTCTTATTTATCTGTTCATCTATCGATGGGCACTTAGGTTGCTTCCATATCTTGGCCATTGTAAATAACGCTGCAATGAACATAAGGGTGCGTATATCTTTTCAAATTAGTGTTTTCGTTTTCTTTGGATGAATACCCAGAAGTGAAATTGCTGGGTCATAAGGTAGATCTTCTTTTTATTTTTTGAGGACACTCCATACTGTTTTCCATAGTGGGTGCAGCAGTTTGCAATCCCACCGACAGTGCACGAGCGTTCCCTTTTCTCCACATCCTCACCAGCACTTGTTTGTTGATTTATTGATAATAACCATTCTGACAGGTGTGAGGTGATATCTCATTGTGGTTTTAATTTGCATTTCTCTGATGATTAGTGATGTTGAGCATTTTTTCATATGTCTATTCGTCATCTGTATGTCCTCTTTGGAGAAATGTCTATTCAGGTCCTCTGCCCATTTTTTAAATTGAAATTTTTTTGATGTTGAGTTGTATGAGTTCTTTATATATTTTGGCTATTAACCCCTAGTGAAATATATGACTTGCAAATGTCTTCTTCCACTCAGTTGGTTCTTTTCATTCTGTTGATGGTTCCCTTCACTGTGCAAAAACTTTAGTTTGATATAGTCCCATTTTGTTATTTTTGCTTTTGTTGCCCTTGCCCAAAGAGGAATATAAAATTGCTAAGACTGATGCCATAGAGTTTACTGCCTATGTTTTCTTCCAGGAGTTTTACGGCTTGGGGTCTTACATTTAAGTCTTTAATCCATTTTGAGTTTCTTTTTGTATATGGTGTAAGAAAGTGGTAGTTTCATTTGCACGTATCTGTTCAGTTTTCCCAACACAATTTATTGAAGAGACTGTGTTTCCCCATTGTATATTCTATCATGCATGAATAGATAAAGAAGATGTGGCATGTGTACATATGTGTACACAATGGAATATTAACCATAAACAAGAGTAAAATATTGCTATTTGTGACAACATAAGATTATGTACAGGATGTTATACTAAGTAAAATAAGTCAGACAGAGAAAGACAAATACTTCATAATTTCACTTATGTATGGAATCTTAAAAAACAAAACAAACAAAATGAAACTGACTCATAGATACAGAGAACAAACTGATGGTTGCCAGAGAGGAGTGGGGAGGCAGATGGGTTACAAAGGTGAAGGGATTAAGAGGTACAAACTTCCAGTTATAAAATAAACGTCTCAGGGATGGAATATACAGCATAGGGAATATAGTCAGTAGCATCACAATGGCTTTGTACAGAGACAGATAGTTAGTACACTTACCGTGCAGTAATACAATAAGTAACACACCGATATCGCTTCGTAAGATATCAGTGTCAAATTATGATGTTGTACACCTAAAATGAATAAAACATTGTATGTCCACTGTACTTTAACTTAAAAAAAAAGAAATATATTTTAAATGAAACAAAGGCACATTCGTCTTTCAGGGCTTGTTTCTTTTCAATGTCTATCTGGTGTGGAGGGTTGTGAACCAGACAAGAATACAATGTCCTGCGTCAGCTGGCTGAGATGACTTTGCTCATTAGCTGGCCTGACCCTGATGTGCCATGTGCTCTCCTATGACGTTCCTTCCTCCTCTGGGTTTCCCAGGGCTGCCCGCTGACCGCCTGTGCCAGCACTCCGGCGTCTGCATCAACGCTGGTAATTCCCATCACTGCCAGTGCCCCTTGGGCTACACTGGGAGCTACTGCGAGGAGCAGCTGGACGAGTGCTCGTCCAATCCCTGCCAGCACGGGGCCACCTGCAGTGACTTCATCGGTGGATACAGGTGTGAGGTGAGTGGGCCGAGTCACCCACGTCAGGGACCTCCCAGGAGATGGCGCGGTTGCTGTGAACACTCGCATACTGAATCGAGCTGCTTATGTCTCATGTTTACAAACATACAGATTTTTTTTTTTACCAGTCACTATTACAGTGTTTATTAATCACTGTTTCTTTCAGTCCCCCTGTGCAATCAGTTAACGTAGCTCTAGTAAGATATTTTTATAAGGGTCTGGAAACATCTCACTTCCACAGGGTGGCCCCCCAGGATTCAGAGCCAGTCTTCACTGCCAGAGTGCATTTCCCAGGCCCCCGGCACGTCCCTGAATAGCAGGTGTGACAAGAGAAACCGCTTGGAGGGCTGTCCCTTTGACCCATGCCACCTTGGTATAATAATAATTCTTTTCAAAAAAAATAAGTTGCTCAGCCTGTTCCATGTAACATCATACTGAATGTTACATGTGTATATTTGAGGAAGGTTGTGTCTTTTAAGGGACATGTCACTGTCTCCTTAATGTCTGAGCTAATCATGGTTCGGGCAAGATATTAACAGAATACCAGAGGCCTGAATTTATTACCAATTCAGACCACCAGGCAGCACTGAGAAAAGCTTCATTTCTCTTCTTCTCCCAGATGAGCCAAAGGTGGCCTCTGTGTATTTGCCCTTAGGTTTTTTATGTCTTCACAGCAGGCTGGGACATCTTAGCTCAAAAGCCACCAGCACCAAAATCAAAATTGTACACATCCAACTGTCTTCAACAAAGCCGAAATAAGCAGATTTCTAGCCATTTAGAGACTGCCTGCTTTGTATATTCTATAGAACTGCACCCAGTATCTGCTAGATAGGTAAGGTAAGCCCCAGGACATAAAGACCCCCAGCCACTGCTGCCCTTCAGAGGTCTCTGGCCCAGAGGCCCCAGGCTGGCTGCTGAGTGACATCACCAAACCCGGAAGTCCCCTCTCAGTTCTGCCTGCCCTTGGAGTTAACTTGCCTTTTCCTCCTTACCCCCTAACCCCCATTTGGACCATCTCATGCTGTGAGGGACCTTCCGCCCACATGCAAACCTGTCACAGCATCATCCAAATAAAGCCACCCCGGGGTCAATGTCTTTCTTCTTGATCAGCCCTGAAACCCCTTGACTCCCTGGATCTGTCCCAGCACGCCAGCGGCCTCCCCTGCCCTCACCCTGTCTCAACCAGTTTCTTGCACATACATGTAGTTTCCTGAACCTGGAGATCCACACATGCAGTGTCTTTATTACCATCTACTCCTACTCCCTGACTACCTAGGATCCTCATCATATGCAAAGGAATGCATATTTTAAAGATGGGAAAACCTGCCCATAGGGGGGACAGAAGTTTGGCACAGGGGTCATATCTGAAATATCCCTCGCTATTCGGTCTCTGCCTTCATTTTCAAGTGGCTTTTTCAGCTGGCAGAGGTCAATGCTGGTAAGCTGGACTTGGCCCTACCCAGGGAGATTACCGGGCATGGGACGATGCCAGGGAAACACACAAAAGCTGAGTGGGGGCTGGGGGCAGAGGGTCACAGGAACCTTGCAGATCTCATTTGCTTTCACGGTCCGTTTCCAACAGCATTCCAATATGTCTTGTCTTTTCTGCTTGCTCCTGGCAGTGTGTCCCAGGATATCAGGGTGTCAATTGCGAGTATGAAGTGGACGAGTGCCAGAACCAGCCGTGCCAGAACGGAGGCACCTGTGTCGATCTGGTGAACCATTTCAAGTGTTCCTGTCCCCCAGGCACTCGAGGTATGAGATCAGCCTTACCTGCTCTCTGTGCAGGGCATTAGCTACGTTATTAATCCAGTTTTAGTGTTGAGAGGGTATTTTAAAAATCAGACATTTAATTCTGAATCCTGGTCGTTCCAGCCATTTCATTCTCTCATCTCTTGCCTGGCTCTGAAGTTCTGAGTCACGGCCTTAGGGTTGCCTGGTTCTCATTGGTGTCTTAGGTTCTGTGAAACTCAGAATGCGGAAATGATTGGATATAACGTTGCAACAAAAAGAGCCTGGTTAGCAAGAGTTCTTGGCGCTTCAAGGGAAAACAACCACTGGCCCCTTGAATAAAGAATTCACATTTACCAGCTTATGTGTTGTGTTTAAACTTGCCAAGCCTTGCCTCCGTAAGGTGGGGGAATGAATGAATGAAAACATCTGCCTATTTTCATAAGCCCAGGGGAGGAGGCTGATGGCCTCAGGCTGTAACTAAGAATTACAATGAGGCCTCCTGAGACTCAACCCTAAACTGTGAAGGGTAGAGCATCATTCTGCTATGGGCATGGGCCCTGCCTCCGAACAACCTCTTGGAAAGAGCTTGGAGTATTGTTTGTTAGAAGAGATGTAGTTATAATGGTACCTGCTCTGAGCAGCCTGTGAAAAAAATGTAAGAGGCCATCCATCCACAGCGGGAAATTCATTCTCAGTGTCAGAGAGAACAGAATATCAGGATGTATTTATTCTTAGACCTTTGTGTCAGTGAATGTGGATAACTTACCTGCCCTGAGTTCAGAGTTTGGCTAAATTAAAATAGAGGAGTACCCCACAAGTAGGCTAGTTATTAAGCAAGGAGGTTAAAGGGGAAAAGAGAACTAAGGAGAAACAAGCCTTTAAATATTTGAAGATTTGTCCCGGGAAAAGGAGGGCTGTTCCCTGCTTTAGAAATCAGTGTTAGTTGCAAGAGAAGTTGGAGTCAACTTCGGTTCGTTTTTAGTTTGTTCCTTTGAATAATTGTACTGTCTAGGACAAGCTACGATTCTGGTGGTAGCACATTGGACCTCAAATCTCAGTGGCTTAACACAACAGTGTGTTGTTGTTTTCTGGTTGTTTTGGGTTTTTTTGGGTTTTTTTGTCACTCAAACTCCTGAGTGTGTTGGGCTGCCTCTCTAGATACAGAGGGTGCCAAAAAATGTACACACATTTTAAGAAAGGAGAAAAACGGTATTAAAATTGTAATACTCAATATATACCGATAACTAAAGATGAAAAAGTCATGTGTATACATTTTTTTGGCACTCCCGGTATTTTAGAGGTGTGGTTAGAAACATTTGGTCTCCAAAGCTTCCGCAGTGGGGGGAAAGAGACGGACTTGTAAGGTAATACAGCAGCTTTCATGGCCTCAGTCTCTGTATCTTTCTAGAGTTGTTTTTATGTGTCCTTCAGAATTTCTTTATGTATATAGAAGCCAAATACAAAGATATTTTAATTTTCCCCACCTCTTACTCTGAAGATAGAATATTAGACATACTCTTGTGCCCTTGATTTTTTTTTTTTTTACTTAATTGGAGATGTTTCCATATAAAAATATATAGCTTCCTTAATCGTTTTTATCCTGTAGAATTCCCTTTTATGGGCAGGCCTATTTTCCTTAACCAGGGCTTAGTGATAGAAATTTGGGTTTTCTTGCATGTGTGTAAGTGTATTTGAAGAATACATGTTCAGAAATGGAATTGCTGGATTAGAGAATATGTGCGTTTGTAATTTTGAGTGCTGTTGCTGAGTTAGGGTATGAGTATACCAGCTTCTCCTCAGTGTGGATGGGCATCCTCTCATTTTAGTCATTTGGTCTGTGGAGTCTCTTTTCAGATATGTATCTTTTTCTTCCATTCCATTCCTGATCTTAATATTTTACAGAGATTTGCTGTCTATGACACAAAATGTAAATATATTCCCAATATATTGGTTTTTGTCTTTTGATTTTCTTTATGGTGACTTTTTTTTTTCATGCAGAGCTTTTTCTTTTTAATCAGGTTAAAGTTGTCAGTCTTTTCTTATGGCTTCTGGATTTTGATTCCTAGTCAGCAACACCTTCCACACTCTAAGATTATAAGGGAATTCTCCCATATTTTCAAGTACTAGAATACTGGAGCACTTTCCCCCCATGGCTGCTGATTTTTGAATATTTGAGCTTTTATACAATGATTTGAGATAGCACCTTTATCAAATTCTAAATTCCCAGGTGTATTTGGAAGTCTCTCTGGACTTCCTTTTTTGTTCTGTCGTTCTATTGATTTAGCAATACCACCCTAGAGGTTTTAATTATTATGTATCTCCTTTTCCAGGGGTTTCCAGGCTATGGTTATCACTGATTTTTCCATATAACTTCAGAATCAGATTGTCTATTAAAAATTCCTATTAGTATTTTTTTATTGGAGTCACATTAATTTTGTGAATGTATATAGAAAAAACTGACATCTTTATGATGTAGGGTCTTCCTAACCAAATCATGGTGTCTTTTCATTTTTTTCAAGTCTCATTTTGTATCTTTCAGGACTATTTTAAAGTTTTCACATAGGTGTAATACATTCCTTATAAAGATTATTCCTAGATATTTTATCTTTTGCTACTGCTATCGAAAATGAGGTTGACCACCGCACTGTATTTCTGAAGCTGATGTTGAATAATAATGTATGTCAACTATAATTACATACACATAAAGTCACAGGACATGGAGTAGAGAGTGGGAATGGAGTCAATGGAATTGTAATAGATAAGCGTGATATCGGGAGTGGAAGGGCAGTACATGGGGGGAGGGGGCTTGTTACTTGTGAGGGTGAAAAGGATAACTATTGCATTGTTCTGTACACCTGAAACTAACAATAAAAAAATTTTTTTTAATTAAAAAAAAAAGAAAGATAATAAGGTCTTTTCACACATTTTTCTTTTTGATAGTCTTGCTTACCCTGGTATACACTACACAAGCCAGAGGCAGGAATGCAGAACTGTTTTCCTTTCTTTTGAAATTTTTTTTTAGCTGATCCTGGGATCGTTTCTGGAATGGTCATTGATTTCTTTTGTTTTCTGCTCAAAAGTATTTACAGATATTTATACTAGATGGCTCATTGATGTCTATAGTACATTAAATGAGTTCTGTTTTAAATATAATAACCTTTGAGCTCTCAATAGGATATTTTCTTCTATTTTTTTTATTAGTTTCAGGTGTACAAAAAAATGTAATAGACATTTATACCCCTCACAAAGTGATAACCCCCTTCCCCAATCTACTACCCCTCTGACATCGTATATAGCTGTTCAATTTTTTTTTAATAAGAAACTAGTGCACTTACGCTATTTTACAGAAAAAAGAAGTCAATGGATATTAAACTTAAAAAATCACTCAAAATTTCGTTCTAATTCATACCAATATTTTTACATACTTATAGTCTGTGTATTTATTGTTATATTATCTTTTGAATGTTTTTCTATTTTGAATTAAATTGAATACATTAACAAAAAATTTGTCTCTTTGAGCTCCAGTTTTTTAGTCTCTCAGGTGAGACAAATAATTCCAGTTGCTCCATAGGGAACCATTTCATTGAGTGGGAGAGTCCCTGTGAAGCCCTAAGCATAGTTTTTCCTTGGTTCTTCCTGGTCACCAGGAGAATGGTGGCTGTCATGGGACAAGAGTGCATTTTGTCCTGCCCGACCTAAAGGGTCTCACCCAAGACTGAGAAGTATAACCAGATCAATTGTGAAATGCCAACAAGGGTGGTTCTCCCTTGCTGGAAAGCAGTGTTCCAGGAATTGTCGTAATTCTCTCTCTCTCTCCTCCAGGCCTGCTCTGTGAAGACAACATTGATGACTGTGCCAGGGGCCCCCACTGCCTGAATGGGGGTCAGTGTGTGGATAAGATTGGGGGCTACAGCTGCCGCTGCCTGCCTGGCTTTGCCGGAGAGCGCTGTGAGGGGGACATCAACGAGTGCCTGTCCAACCCCTGCAGTTCTGAGGGCAGCCTGGACTGCATACAGCTGATCAACGACTACCGGTGTGTCTGCCGCAGCGCCTACACAGGTGAGAGCTTCCCCACACTGCTGGGCCGCTCCCCGCGGAGTGGTTCTCAGGGACGAAACAGGGCCCCGTGTGACACTCCGTACACCCACGCGAAGCTTCTCCCAGACGTGAAAAGCTAGCCCCACTTCATTCCAGGGCCCGGCTCTTTCTGAGGTCTGTGCTCCTTGGATGCTGTAGTCCATCTCTACCTTTTGCTTTTCTGGAGACAGGTTTTCTCGTTTGTTATACCTTGATTTAGCAGATTATTTTTTAAAAAAGAAATAGAATATCGGGAGTAGTTGAGCAAAATAACATCTGTTCATTATGGTAAGATACACGTAACATAAAGTTTACCATCTTCACCCTTTTTAAGTGTACAGGTCCTAAGTACATTTATTTACATTGTGCTGCCGTCCCCAACATCCATCCACAGAGCTCTTCATCTGAGCAAAATAACATGTTTTCGGGAACCTGACCTCTGACCCTGATTTCCTCACTCTGCCTCCCTTTGCAATGTCAGGACTTGAGTGACTGAGTCGTCACTGCCACTGTGAGCTTTTCGCCTCTGGGGTCCCGAGAGGCTCAGGATCTTCCACGATGCTTAGGGGGAGGAGGTCCCGATTGGAGCGAGTTTAACCAAAAGTCAGCTGATGGGGTGTGAACTGGAAAATGGCCGTAGTCCCAGGCCTGACTGGCAGCGCTAAGACTTGGCCACGCCCCCAGGCTTTCCTCAAGCTTCTTTTTTTATTCATTACAGATCATAAAGGTGACCAAGTCCGGCCTCAGCATAGGGACTTTCTCATAGGCATATCCTAGTTACTTCCAGAAAAGGGCAGCTTGGTGACTTTGGGGGACTGAAATCGATGTGTGTGTCTACACGTGGCCGTTACCACCAGCTGCTCAATTTAGAAATCTGTCTTGCATTTCTGGGGTCATGTTGAATCTTACACTGTAGCAGTATTTACTGGGAGTCCGATAATAGGCTGCTGTGGTTTCCTGACTCATAATGTGGCGAATTGGACCCTGTCCCATTCTGAGCCCATCTCCAGACTTCCTTCCTTCCAGTTTTAAACATATGTTACCTTTAAGAACCTTGGGATTTTGTAAAGAAAGGGAAGGGTTTTGCAATAGGAAATGCGCCTGGATGCAATATCAAAAGAGGAACAATCCACCGTGAACGCCTTACCTACTGAGACAAGCCGGGCAGAAAGACTACAAATAACATGTTTACAGCCTCATACCAGCCACGTGTGCTTGGGACGCCACAGAAACAACGCTGACTCCTCCTCCTCGCGTTGCCCTTTCCAGTGATGGCCGGCCAGATGGGGCCTGTCTCCCGCGTTTGCCGCGAGGCCCCAGCTGTGCCTCCATGGCTCCCCCGTGGCTTTAGTTGCTTTAGCAGTTCACTTTATCATGGAGCAGTGGCCTTGAGGTGCCTTCTGTTTTACATCTGTTTCTGGAACAAATTAACTCTGAGAAAATTAAGCTACATTTTAAAGCGGTGCCAGTTAGCTTACAGAAAGGCTAAAAAACGATTGAAAGGAGATGTTACAGATGAAAATTCTCTGTGAGTTGCCACTCAGCACTTATATGTATTGGTCTGGTGTTGCCTCTCCTATGAAGTAGAAGACGTGAACAAGATGCAGTGAAAAAGAGCTTTTCTAAATGTTTCTTTTGACTTATGAAAACTAAGCACCTTCAAAAAAAGCTGTGTCATTTTCCTCTTTTTTTGGTGGTATTAGTTGTTTTTCGTATCTGTCCTGTCTTATGAGTGAGTTGGGATGTGTGCCACGTGTGCTTGTTGTGTAAGTAAGACTGGTGAGGGGCCTGGCCCAAGCCAGGGACGGGCCAACCGCGTTGAGAGCCAGGGATGGTGTCTCTATCTTCTCACGTTCTCTGAGGCTTAGGACTGCGCTCCCCCACTCCTTCCTCCATCTCTCACCCTTGGCCTAGCTCACATCCTCGCAGGGTTCTGTCCATAACTCGCAGCTACTCCTGCCGCCTTTCTAAACTCCTTTTCATTTTCCGCTTTGAGGTCGTCACTGCGAAACCTTTGTTGACGTGTGTCCCCAGAAGCCTTGCTTAAATGGAGGTTCTTGTGCGATGGCCAGCAACATGCCTGACGGTTTCATCTGCCGTTGTCCCCCGGTAAGTGCTGTTTAAGGAGCCCAGTTAAGGCGCATGCTGTCTTCCATACAGCCTGTGACAAAGCTGAGAGGAAACCTGGTTTTCCCAAGCTCCATCGGGAGATTTCTTAATTTTAGCCCTTTCGGGAGAAAATGCATGGGTTTTCCATTTAGAGCTGTTAAAATACTCCCCAATCCGTGACTCGGTGTTCAGAAGCACCAAGGGAAAGCACAAGAAGTGGTGGAATGTTCTCTGGAAAACAGGAGTAGTATCTCTCGCTTCTAGTCATGCTGCCCAGATGGGGACAGAGGCAGCTGGAAAATGCTACGCTGCTTACACTTGTTAGCAGGGGCTACTGGCAGCAAGCTGCTTCTTTAGCCACGGCCAGAGGCTGACACCTCCCTAAAACAGATACCAAAAGGCACCCTCGGCCTGGGCTAAGCAGAAAGAATATAAGAATGAACTGAACCCCAGATACGATCCGCCCCCCATAAAGTCATTATATGTGATCTAATGATGGTTAGGGAAGCTGCTTATAGGTACCAGTGTCACCTGACTCTTATCCCACTGTGTCCTGTGGACCTAATTTAGAAGTGATCTCTTAGACCAGGGATTGGCAAATTTTTGAGACAGAATAACTTAAAAATTATTCGAGAGCCATAAAACAAATGAAATCACCATTATGTGAATAATATCCTTTTAAAATTCTATAAATGAAACTATGATAGTTTTATTTTCATTTTCAATTTTACTTCAGAGCCACATGTACGTCCCCAAAGAGCCACATGTGGCTTGCGAGCCACAGTTTGCCAACCCGTCTTAGATGGATAGAACCTACATCACCTCCTGGGGCCTTCAGCCCTGACATACAGGTTGACTTGAAGAGGCGCTTTCCTGGAACTTGGTCCAGGAGGCTTCATGGAGGGATCTTAGCCAAGTGTCTGGTCCTAATGTCTGTAGAGGTGAAGGGACCTAGAAGGCGAGTGGGGCCTGCCCTCGAGAGCCGGCCCACCGTCTTCATTGGTTCATTCATTTCCTCAGGGCTTCTCCGGGGCGAGATGCCAGAGCAGCTGTGGACAAGTGAAGTGCCGGCGAGGGGAGCAGTGCGTGCACACGGCCTCGGGACCCCGCTGCTTCTGCCCTAACCCCCAGGACTGCGAATCGGGCTGTGCCAGTAGCCCCTGCCAGCACGGGGGGAGCTGCTACCCGCAGCGCCAGCCTCCTTACTACTCTTGCCAGTGTTCTCCACCGTTCTGGGGCAGCCACTGTGAACTCTACCCCGCCCCCACCAGCACCCCGCCTGCCACCTGTCTGAGCCAGTACTGTGCCGAGAAAGCTCGGGACGGCATCTGCGATGAGGCCTGCAACAGCCACGCCTGCCAATGGGATGGGGGGGACTGCTCCCTCACCATGGAGAACCCCTGGGCCAACTGCTCCTCCTCGCTTCCCTGCTGGGATTACATCAACAACCAATGCGATGAGCTGTGCAACACGGCCGAGTGCCTGTTTGACAACTTCGAATGCCAGGGCAACAGCAAGACGTGCAAGTAAGGATCCAGGGTTCCCGCAGTGGAGGGACACTGTCACTAACACCCCTCGGTTTCTTGTTCTTGCTACCTAACCACGCCAGGGCTCCAGCCCAAGCTGCCTCTGCTTTGCAGACGGGTGCCCTGAGGCCCTCTTCTCCCTGGTGTCAGCCCTGTCCCCTCGCAGGCTCCCCTGTGCAGCCCTTTGCTGGCAGAGGTCCAGGAATGCTCAGTGCACAAGCACCCTCTCTCTGCCTCTCTCTGCCTTCTCACCTGCTGCCCTCACGACCTCCTGGGGAACTAACTTTCGGAAGTAGCGTTACCCACGCTCAGGCAGCCTCTCACCTAACCTGCCTGCAGGATGGATGGAAAGGTCTGTACCTCTCTGTTCACCCCACTCCTTTCCCTCAGACTGGGTTCCCCCAGCTGGATTTCTCAGGAAGCCTGAGCCAGATGAGGCCTCTCTACCCTCCTGGTCCGTCTTCACTGCTGCAATGATAGGGTGCTTTACGGTTTATATAGTAACTTTCCTTGTAGCCATCCTGTTTAATTTGACCCCGATCGATTCTCAGCGACCTCATGAGGCATAGGTATTGTTAATGGTCTTTCACAGGTGAGGGCGCCGAGGCCTGGGAACTTGAAGGGACTGCCAAAGCATACAGTGCTTCCGGACTCTCATGTCTTCATTGAGCTAGCGTGCCAGGCTGTCCCAATCAGCGGGTGGCCGTGGGGGAGGAGAGGAGAGCGTAAATGAAATGGTTTGTGCAGCATTTAGTTTTGGGGATTCGATGTCCTTCCCCAGTATTTGAAAGTGGCTGGACAAGTTAGACCTGGTATCCTGTATGGGACACACCCTTCCCCACCTCCCTTCCAGAGTTGGGATTCTGTCTTGATTGGGAAAGAAATCGGCCATACCAACACGGTCCTCTGTGTGGCAGCTCCTGATGGTTCCGAGCTGTGTACTCGTTTCTGGAGGCAGCTTTTCCTTCCGAACGCTCATTGTTACCTCACCAGGGGCAGTAGATGCAGAACTAGAGGGAGCATGAGCCAGGTTGATTTTCATTCTAGGGGTGCAGCTTTGTTTATCAATCTTAACAAGACGAGCTGCCAGGGGCCCTAAGGCCATGCGGCATAGCACACGGTGTTATCTCTCACTCGGGGAGGACCCATGGATGTTGTGTGGCGTAGACTCGGGGATAAAAAACTCAAGGAAGGCTTCACGAGGCGTTCCCAAAGGCCCAGACCCGGGTCACAGATGATGGGGAGAAAACCCACAGTAGCTCCAGTGGAAACCCAAACAGAGCTCAGTGTCCCCTGAGCCCCTTTCCTCCCTCTGCCTCCTCCCCAGGTACGACAAATACTGTGCGGACCACTTCAAAGACAACCACTGTGACCAAGGATGCAACAGTGAGGAGTGCGGCTGGGATGGGCTGGACTGTGCCGCCGACCGGCCCGAGAACCTAGCCGAGGGCACCCTGGTCATTGTGGTGCTGATGCCTCCGGAACAGCTGCTGCAGGACGCGCGCAGCTTCCTGCGGGCGCTGGGCACCCTGCTGCACACCAACCTGCGCATTAAACGGGACTCGCAGGGGAACCTCATGGTCTACCCCTATTATGGCGAGAAGCCGGCAGCCATGAAGAAGCAGAGGATGAACCGCAGGTCCCTTCCCGATGATCAGGAGCAGGAGGTGGCTGGGTAGGTTTTTGATTTTTGCACTGCTTGCAGCTTGATTTTAAAAAGCTGAGCACTTTGGTATACAGAAGAAGTCATAACTGAAGCTATAAAAATGCAAAACTCAGACCTGTAGAACAGCCACCAAGTAAAACAAACACATTATCCCAGCATTTTCGTGTAAGCGTCAAGTTTTCCCTTGCTCTTGGGATCCTGAGAGGTGGGTGAGAGCACGCAGGAGGCACGATGTCAGGAAGGCCTCCCCAAAGGCTAGAACCGCTCACCCTCGGCCAGGGTGGCCTGGGATCCTGTAGTGCTGACTCCTCTTTGGTCTTGACCCTTTGGGTTGTGTTGCCTGAGTCAGCAGGCCTGGACGCAGCCAGACCAAGGAAGGTGAGACATTCCCTGAGTAGGAATGAGTGTTTAGGATCTAAAGGGGATGGTATTTTAATTCCCGAGATCTTTCTGGAGGAGGCGGCCTCACAGACGTGGAAGGGCCGACGCTGAGGCTGAGGAAGGGGGCGCAGTGACGCCTTCAGCTCAGCTCGCTGACAGGCGCCCTCTGTGTTCCTCACCACTTCCCTTGGCACCCACAGCTCCCAGGTGTTCCTGGAGATTGACAACCGCCAGTGCGTCCAAGATTCAGAGCAGTGCTTCAAGAACACGGACGCGGCAGCAGCTCTGCTGGCTTCCCACGCCATCCAGGGGACCCTGTCGTACCCTCTCGTGTCTGTCGTCAGTGAGTGGCACCGCTGTTAAAGGGGGAAGGAGGAGGGTGGAGGCGTCAGGTGGAGGCCGAGAGAAGAGGGCACGCTTTTCAATGGACAGCCCTTTACTTTCCAGGGCTGACGAGGTCAGGGCTGCCCTCGAAGCACGTTTAAAGCTGGTACTGAGAGGTTGGTGTCTTATGCAGCCCTGTCCCGCTCTCTCTGGCTTGCAGGTGAGTCCCTGACTCCACCACGCACTCAGCTCCTCTATCTACTTGCTGTTGCTGTGGTCATTATCCTGTTTATTCTCCTGCTGGGGGTTATCATGGCGAAACGGAAGCGGAAGCATGGCTCCCTCTGGCTGCCTGAAGGCTTCACCCTTCGTCGCGACTCCAGCAACCACAAGCGCCGGGAGCCCGTGGGACAGGATGCCGTGGGGCTGAAGTAAGAGGGCTCCCCCACAAGCTACCGTTGACAGCAGACAAGAGCAGGGATAAATCAAAAAGCAGATCTTGCTGAGTCATGATTTTAAATTCAGAGCTGTGGCCACACCACACTATCCCACTTGACCGTAACTCTCAATTGCCCATTTGAATGACTGTGAAAACCAGTCCGTCTGGGGGCTTCCGTTCTGTACTTATTATCACACTGGTGTCAGCTCCTGTGTGGAGGCACACTTCGGTTATAACCTCTGGATCAGTGGGAAAGGGAAGGATGATTGCTCGGGGGTTGAAAATATGGGCTGTCCTTTCGGGGCCATGGCCCCGAAAAGTCTAACAAATGGGAGTGTGTCATGGCGCAAAAAGTATTGAAAACCACTATATTCATTGATGACATAATCTCTGCTTTGTTTTTCCCCGTCATAACCCTGTCATTTCAGAAATCTCTCCGTGCAAGTCTCAGAGGCTAATCTAATTGGTTCCGGAACAAGTGAACATTGGGTTGATGATGAAGGACCTCAGCCAAAGAAAGCCAAGGTAAGTCGGCTGTGGTAGAACCACCATGATCAGCCATTATCTGGTCACATTTCAAATCTCTGCCCTTGGTAGCTGGAGTGTCCCAAAAGGGACTGATAGTCTTTATACGTTGCCCAGGCCGTGGTTATCTCATGTTGTCAGGGAAGCCAGGAATCTCAAGATCACTGATGGCCTCGGGTTACCTACACATGTTTTCAATAAGGACTCTAAAAATAATAAAACCAACATGCTTCTTCCTCAAGTGCCATGCAGATGGTAGTCGAATAAGGACTGAGGTGTGTAAATAGCAGTTTCCTTCATGGCTAGACTTCTCCCTTATCCTGTCTGGGCACTTCACTTTTTGGAAGGCAAGATGAAATTAAATAGTGGAAGAAAGACAGCGACCATTGAGTTTGGAGGGTCCCCATCTTGAGCCAAGGGAACTAAAACCATTTAGAAGTAGGAGGCAGATTGGGCTGCGACTGACATAAAAACCTATTCCGGGCTGGCCAACTGGCGTGTTGGTTAAGAGCTGGCTTGGGACGCCAGAGGGCCCCGGTTTGGATCCCACATATGAGGGCCAGTGACACTGCCCTCTACAGCTAAGATGCTGAACAACAGCTCAACCTGGAGCTGGACTGCCGTGAGTCGCCGGCAACGGCATAGGCTGCAGCCCCTGCTGCAGTGGGTTTCCATGGGCTACCGTGTGTAGCCAGCAGCCAGCATGAGCAGCTAGCAGCTGCCATGAGTGGCTGTCCCAAAGCCGGCGACTGATCTGCCTCGCCCGGGAAGAGCGCCATGATGGTGCCAACTTGGGCCAGTGAAGCAACGTCCTCCACAACTAGACTGAAGAACAAAAGGACAGCAACTTGTCTGTTCCCCTTCCCCCAATTCCCCAGCACTGTTCCCATCCACCAATTCCCCAATAAAAATCTTTTAAAAAAAAATAAAAAGAAAGAAAAAACAATCCTAAAAAAAACAATGCCATCCATTCGTAGCTGTCCATACATGGCTGGGGTATGTATGTATCCCATGGATACTCTAAATCAGCTTGAGGAAACTAGTGCTTGAGGCATACAGGCATGCTGTCCTACGAACATTGCTTTCCTTACAAGAGAACTGGATTCAAGTCCAAAGCTCTGCTACTTAGTAGCTGGAAATTACTTAACCTCTTTGCAGTTAATCATCCGTAGCTGTAAAATAGGGATAATAATAATAATGCTTTCCTCTGAGTCGTCGTGAGGATTAAGTACGCCAAAACGATACTTACCTGTTCTCTACACATACTGAGTGTTCAATAAAGCGTAGCTGCTTTTTACATTATAATAATAATTATTGCTCACCACATATTTTTTGAGTGTTTGCTATGAGCTAGGCACTGTTCAGTACAGGCAGTTAACCTTGAACAAGGCGTGTTCCCCATTCTCACGAACCGTACAGTCTAGTGGCAGAGACTGCTGTGTCGTCCCACGTGAGCACCTGGCAGGGAATTAGGGGGAAGCAGAGAGTGCTTTTTCAGACCAACAGGAGGAATTAACACCTACATTTATTGGAGGGGTAGGTAGGAGTTAGTCAAATAAATAACCGGGAGACACCATGGCAGGCACTGGAAACAACATAAGCAAGATCCCAGAAGCAGGAAAATGGTGCTTTGGGGCTCTGTAGGTAGCGTATTAGGCAGGTAAGATGGGGCACAGATTAAAGCCAAAGCCTAGCGTTTGGGATGGGAGGTTGGGAGAGTTGTCCAGATGAGGCCACACAGGTAAACAGGAACCACACTGTGAGAGCCTTGGAAAGCTGATGTGGATAAAAATCGGGAGGGCTGGAGCATGCGGAGAGAGAAGAGAGGGCTGGAGATGAGGAGAAGCGTTGGAGCCTCTGGACTAGCCCCTTGTCCCCGGGTCCTGGTGGTGGGCCAGACCGACATGGACAGTTTTCTCCTCCTCTCAGGCTGAAGACGAGGCTTTGCTCTCAGAAGAAGACGACCATATCGACCGACGCCCGTGGACACAGCAGCACCTGGAGGCTGCCGATATCCGCAGGACCCCGTCTTTGGCTCTCACTCCTCCGCAGGCCGAGCAGGAGGTGGACGTGCTGGATGTGAACGTCCGGGGCCCAGGTCAGCGACCCTGCCTGCCCCTCTCACCAGGCCAGGCCTGCCCGTGGCTCTGTTATCATCCTTCCCATGTTCGTCCTGCTTGGTGATACGCCCCCTGCCAATTTCACAGACTGTAAATCAGCTTGAGAAAACAATGCTGAAGGGATACAGGCGTGCAGAAAATAGGAACTTACATGGGAAGAAAGAGAAGGAATTCACTTTGCTTCGCAGACAGCATGTCTGAGAACAAATAGGCTAAACAGATGGGACTGATTTTAGTAGGATTCCCAAAGCAGAGGGGAAGAGAATTCGTTTAGTTGATACCTTAGTTCTGTTAATATTGGATATTTTTAAATGTCTGTTTTAAAGTAAACATAGCATTTAGAAACGTGAAGAGAAAAACTTGTTGAGCTTAGAGAAGAACCTCCAGCTTAAAAACACTGTTGCTTTCTCATTACTCTTTAAAGAAGGAACATTATCACAGGACAAGTAGGTGGCCCATATAAAACGAATGGCCTCACATTGAACTATCCCAACCGTAGGGTTAACTGAACATTGATGTCCTTCTCCTTAACTACCTTTGGGGACTTTCCTTTCCTGTAGATGGGTGCACCCCATTGATGCTGGCTTCTCTCCGAGTTGGCAGCTCAGACATGAGTGACGAAGACGAGGAGGCAGAGGACTCTTCTGCCAACATCATCACAGACCTGGTGTACCAGGGTGCCAGCCTCCAGGCCCAGACAGACCGCACGGGGGAGATGGCTCTGCACCTTGCCGCCCGCTACTCCAGGGCAGACGCTGCCAAGCGCCTCCTGGATGCAGGTGCAGACGCCAATGCCCAGGATAACATGGGCCGCTGCCCCCTGCATGCTGCCGTGGCCGCTGACGCCCAAGGTGTCTTCCAGGTAAAGACCACGAGAGGAGCTGGTTCCCTAGGGAAGCAGCTATCATGCCTTATCTTCGTTAAGGCACTTAAGATCCATTCTATTCATTCGATAATCCTTTGATAGAATAAGGTGGTTGGTAGGGTCATGCTGGTGGAAGGGAAAGTGGACAAGAGGAGAAGGCAGACGGACCTATAAGCAATATCTACAGCCACGTAGCGATAGAGCCAAAAGTAGATGACAGCAGGGTTTTGATTCTTAATCACCATGGTTTTGTGTGCATGTGATATGCCACAAATGCCTCCCAAATGAGTAGATCAGATGGGAGTGATACTTGTTATGAAGCCTTGGATGGTCCGCTTCCGCCTGCTCCTTGGTGAGTTGACATGAGCTCACAGTGTACTCCTTGATGCCCTTTTATTTTTACCCTTATGAAGAAACAGGAAGCATTCTGAACCATCTTAAACTGTGCACCATAATTGGGGCTGTGGTATTGTCCAACATCCGTCTTCTTTCTTTAGAAAGTAGAAGTTCTTCACTTTGCATAAGCCATTGTCTCTCGAGCACCCATTTGTTCATTCAACAAACATTGGCTACTTGACCATGGTAGACACTTGGAAACAAGAATAACAAGACGTTTCCTGCCCTCCAGGGACTGACAGTGGAGCCTCAGCTATGAAACCCTTGTTTCTTCTCTTAGCTTAATTATATCCTTTTATCTAGGTGACTCTCTTTCCTCTGCTTTCTCCTCTTCTAGATTCTGATCCGCAACCGAGTCACAGATCTAGATGCCAGGATGAACGATGGCACCACCCCCCTGATCCTGGCTGCCCGCCTGGCTGTGGAGGGAATGGTGGCCGAGCTGATCAACTGCCAAGCAGATGTGAACGCGGTGGATGACCATGGTAGGGACAAGGCAGGGATCCCAACTCACCTGCACAGTGTGCCTCTAAGGAGGAGAACTGTTACACGATCTGTACAGACCCATCTCAGATTCAAGTCCACTAAAGATCCATTCATCCATCCATCCATCCATCCATCCATCCATCCATCCATCCATTTATTCTTCCTTGTAGCAAATTGAGAGCCACTGGAAGGTCCATAGGTGAAGATGAGAAAGATTTTTAGCGAGGGGTTTTGGTTCTCAAAGGTCTCCCTATGTAACGTACCACTCTTGCTTTGAGGGCTCATGAGAGCTGAATGCACCAGGGGTGTTGTGAGAGATCCCATATATACATCCCAGCATGTAATAAATAAATAGGTTACTATCTATCTTCTGTGTGTAACAGGGTAGACTCTACCATGTGGAGGACAGGGGTACCATAGTCAAATGATCCGTGAACCTAGCGGTCTTCTGAAAGCTAGGCAGCCTGTACTGAGGTATTTCTAGAACAGAAGGAAAGACGATAATACTTAGGTTTTTTCCTATGGGCCCTCACAGAGAGCTGGTTTCCTGCTGCTCTCTGGGAAGGTCAAGGTCTCCTTATACAAGTCATGGTTCATCCTTGTACTAGGAGTAAGACGTGCCCTTCTCCTCTGTCTGCTTATACACATGTTTTTCCGTGCAGGAAAATCTGCTCTTCACTGGGCAGCTGCTGTCAATAATGTGGAGGCGACACTTTTGCTGTTGAAAAATGGGGCCAATCGAGACATGCAGGACAACAAGGTACAGTCTGGGCCCTGAGCTGGAGGGCAGGCACAGCAGTGCCTCAGCATAAAGGGCCTTCCCTTCTTGCCCATTGCTCCTCTTGTGAAAATGACAGACAAAGATGGAAGCATGTTGGACAGGAATGGGGTCCAGAGAGCTTGAGGAAGGGTGTTGGGCTTGTCCCACCGGGTGGGTCAAGGCTGAGCCTACTCAGTACCCAGTCTGATCCAGGTAGGCTGTCCTGTAAATCACATGGGTGTAGCCTTCTCTGCCTCTGTCTTCTTCGCTGTTTCCCTTTCTGCTGTTCTCCTTTCTGTCCATGCTCACTTTTTTTTCATTTGTTTGTTTTTGTTTTCCTGCTGCTCTTTTTTTTTCTGTTCTTGACTATCAGGATGTGTTCCTGTGTGCTTTTCTTCCTCTGAGGTTTAAACGGTCATGTCTCCCCTCTCTGGCTCATCTTATCTTCTCTCATTTATTTCTTTTCCCCTATTTTAGTTCTTTCTTGTACATGTTTGGTTTTTTTTCTCTGCTTTCTTTTGCTTTCTCTTAGTCATCCCGGGCCTGTGCATGTTTTAACTTCTTCCTCTCCTACCTGTCTTCTTTCTAACTCTTTTTCCTCTTAGAATCCTACTTGGATAAGCTCAGTGCTCTTTTAAGTGAATCTCTGGCTCAGGGGCGTGCTTTATTTCACACATTCCCAGCAAAGAAGGTGTTGCCCTCAATGGGGCAAAACTGGAGGGGTGAAATAACCTTACTCTTTGGATGTATGAAGCACATAGCTAGATACACAGTTTATCTGTGGTATTAAAATTTCATGTGGGGAGGCAGTTTGGAAAAAAATGTCTAAGGGGGTGATAATAACAAAAGGTTGAGAAACACTGCTGCATTCTCAAGTGTTATTAAAATGTGCTCTTTGTGGGCCTTTTCTGTAGGAAGAGACACCTCTGTTTCTTGCTGCCCGAGAGGGGAGCTATGAAGCAGCCAAGATCCTGTTAGACCATTTTGCCAATCGGGACATCACAGACCACATGGATCGTCTGCCCCGGGATGTGGCTCGGGACCGTATGCACCACGACATCGTGCGGCTTCTGGACGAGTACAATGTGACCCCGAGCCCTCCGGGCACTGTACTGACTTCTGCTCTCTCACCTGTCATCTGTGGGCCCAACAGATCTTTCCTCAGTCTGAAGCATACCCCAATGGGCAAGAAGCCCAAACGGCCCAATGCCAAGAATGCCATGCCCACTAGCCTCCCTAACCTGGCCAAGGAGGCCAAGGATATCAAGGGGAATAGGAGGAAGAAGTCCCTGGGTGACAAGGGCCAGCTGTCGGAGAGCTCAGTGACTCTGTCACCAGTCGACTCCCTAGAGTCTCCTCACACATATGTTTCTGACACCACATCCTCTCCAATGATTACATCCCCTGGCATCTTACAGGCCTCACCCAACCCTCTGTTGGCCACTGCCGCGCCCCCTGCCCCAGTCCACGCACAGCACGCGGTGTCTTTCTCTAACCTTCATGAGATTCAGCCTTTGGCTCATGGGGCCACCACTGTGCTTCCCTCGGTGAGCCAGCTGCTGTCCCACCACCGCATGGTTCCGCCAGGCAGTGGCAATGCGGGGAGCCTGGGGAGGCTGCATCCAGTCACCGTTCCCGCGGATTGGATGAACCGCATGGAGATGAATGGGACCCAGTACAATGAGATGTTTGGTATGGTCCTGGCTCCAGCTGAGGGCGCCCCCCCTGGCCTCGCTCCCCAGAGCAGGCCGCCTGAAGGGAAGCACATACCCACCCCTCGGGAGCCCTTACCCCCCATTGTGACTTTCCAGCTAATCCCCAAAGGCAGTATTGCCCAGCCAGCTGGGGCAGCCCAGCCTCAGTCCAACTGCCCTCCAGCTGTGGCAAACACCCTGCCCACCATGTACCAGATTCCAGAAATGGCTCGTTTGCCCAACATGGCTTTCCCCACTGCCATGATGCCCCAGCAGGATGGGCAGGTTGCTCAGACCATTCTCCCCTCCTACCATCCTTTCCCAGCCTCCGTGGGCAAGTATCCCACGCCCCCTTCACAGCATAGCTATGCTTCCTCAAATGCTGCTGAGCGAACGCCCAGCCACAGCGGTCACCTCCAGGGTGAGCATCCCTACCTGACACCATCTCCCGAGTCTCCTGACCAGTGGTCAAGTTCATCACCCCACTCTGCTTCTGACTGGTCCGATGTGACCACCAGCCCTACTCCCGGGGGTGCTGGAGGAGGTCAGCGGGGACCTGGGACACACATGTCTGAGCCACCACGCAGCAACATGCAGGTTTACGCCTGAAAGAGCCTGCCCCCGGTGTAGGGACAGAACTGCCTATCGTAAATGCTGCTGAGGAACAAATGAAGGTCATCCGGGAGAGAAATGAAGAAATCTCTGGAACCAGCTCCTGGAGGCAGGAGAGAGGAGATGCTCTTACCTTTCAGATAATGCAAGGGAAGCAGTTTTATCCGCTTCACTGGGTATTTGGAGGGTTTGGAGGAGGAAGGACAAGGCTCCTTCTAAGCCCTTGCCCATCAAGCCAAGTTCATAGCAATGCAAGAGGAACACAGGACCTGGAACCATGTTTACTCTCTTTTATTTGGAGAATTGGATGGATGCCTGTCATCGCCCAGACATTCTTGCAGCTTGAACTGCATTTTAAGCCCCGGGGGCTTCTGCCATATCCGTGAGAAGATGCTACAGTGGATTCCCGTTGGGAATTGTGCCCTGGAATTCTAGCTGAACTGACCTATCTCATCTTCTCATCCTCACAAACGCTTTTGGCTTCATTTGGTGCTTCCATGTTTGCACCTCTCTGGTCGTAGCCTTACCAGCAGTTAGAGGGTCTGGCCTTTGTGCTTCTAATCATTCCTGCCCTGAAACGGGACTTCAGTTTCCTCTTCCCTCCTAGTTTCCAGGGTCCCTGGAAGTCCGACAGGTTTACTTCGGTTGTGGTTCTCAGCAGAAACCTTTCTAGTTCATTTCTTTAGAAAATGGGCATATTGCATTCTCCTACATAATAGCATTCCTAGATGAACAATAGAGAACAAAGTATTTTTCTTTAAACCCCATTTGGGGACAGGCGACCCCTTCAAGAAGCTGCACCTAAGTCTCTTGCCTGCACGCAGGACTTCCCATAAACCTTCTAAGAAGGAGGATAAGGATCAGTTGCTTTTCCATTTGTGGGCCTAGTCAGTGTGAAGTTTCATCCTTGGAAGGTGTAGGTACTATGACTCCCTTAAAAAAAAAAAAAAAAGATTTGGAATGTTGGAATGACCAAGAGATAAGCTAATTCATGCAAAAAGTGTTACCCACTGACGGCTCCCCTGCCTTCCTGCCAAGCGTTGCACTGACTGACAGTGCGAAACACGTTTGTTCCCAGCTCTCTGAAGCCTCAGGCTGCTTCACTCCCTCATCCAGCCGATGAAGTTAAGTGTACATGTTAAGCCTTTCCTCCCGGCAATCCTCACAAAAGAAAATGCCTCGAACCACGTTCCCTCGCCGTCTAGAATGGAACTTGCCTCGGCTCAAGGGATCCCACACTGGTAGTCTTGCCTTCATCGGGGGGTCCGTCTGTACTTCCTGATTCTTGCTGATCGCAGGCCCATTCACCAAATCTTCCTTCCACACGGTGTGGTCTGAGTTACTGGTGCACCCAGTAGGTTCTCACTGAACGCAGGGATTTTCAAGTGTGGGAAATAGAATGGTGGGTCCGTTTTCTAGAGCCAAAGCCAACTCTCTAAGAAAGGTGGCAAGGGAGGGATTCGTGGCAGCCTCTGCTAATTCTTGCCACCATTTCTTTTCCTCTGAAACAATCATGGCATCTCCTTTAAGACAACTAACACAGAAACTTACCAGGGACCTTATGCTTTCCTAGAGTCACCTTCTAGATGATAAGGGATAATTCCAGACTCTGTCCTTGTCATCCTCCTGTTCAGATTGGGATTGCTTCTCACCTAAGGCTACTCTCTGTATTAGTGGTCTTGACAACTTCCTCGACCTTCTGTCAAGGGCAGAAGCCTTCTAGTCAACACTAGAAATAGGAAGACAATCGATTTCTTCCTCTTCTCCCTGAGTCAGCAGATCGTTGGTCCTATGGCCACACTGCCACATCTACCGGTGCTATGATGTCATGACACCCGGAAAATTAGTTCCACTGGGGCATTTGGTAGATATTAATAGGTGGATTGCCTACTTTGTTTCTGTTTGAGTAATAGTCCTCATTCCTGCCTTGGCTGAGTGTGGTCATCAGTGCTTCCCACTTACTTGATTTGTCTGCCTGTGGCTCCAGATATTACAGAAGCCCTGTGTGTCTGTTAGCACGGCCATCTACAGATGGCTGTTGCAATCCTGCCCAAGCTCATGAACCAACAACAATAATTAGTTCTGCTCTAATATGAGCAGATTGTTTATTCATTCTGTATGTTATTCTCTCACATGACAATCTACCAGCCCCCTCCATAGTGTGTAACATTTTATCATTTTAAACGGTGACTCTCTATCCTTGGACCCATTTGTTAATTCACAGATGGGGAGAACCTGTGTGCCTGAATCACCATGGACCCCACCACACCTGCCCTGCTCTGTCATCCTGTCCCAGCCCCGCTTTTTTGAAAGTATCAGTCTCTGATCCAGCAGCTCAGATCTTTTATAACCTCCTCGCTCTCCAAGCACAACGTAGGCCCACCTTGCTTGTTTCTCTTTGGTATTGGGGAAAAGGAAATGTGAAAGCTGCCATTACAGACAACAGGCTTCAGTGATGAAGAGGAAGATACTGCCTTTCAGTCATTTGTCAGTCTTCGTTTTTAAGGACCCTTGAGTTGTATCATATCTAATCAAAGAAAAGGTAAGATGGAGACTTGCTTTCTCATTTGGGTTCTGAATTGCAGACTAACTTTTAAGGAGACATCTTGTATGCCATGTATAGGTCAGCACCCAATTTTTGGTTTTTTATTTTATTTTATTTTTGTAAGTTCTTCCTTTGACTCCTGTCAGCCTCTGGGTATAGATTTTTTTGTTTGTTTATTTGTTTCTGTTTTGTATGAAGCATCATTTTCTGACTTACATGATGATGAGGGGGGTAGAAGTTTGAGGAAAAGCAAGAGGAAGACTTAAAGATGTTGACGTCAAGCAATCGTCTGTAATGCGCAAGTCCATTATATCATTTTACTGTTCAACTTGTTAGTTCATAATTCTTGCACAGAAAAGAACCAAAGGTGTAATGTTTTGTTGGCAGGTGGTTTGGGGGAAATTTGGCCTTAACCAATGCATTGAGTGCATGGTGACTATTGGACAGGATGCGTCCTATGCCCTGAGGCTCCCTTCCCTAACTCTCTGGTACTGCGGATCCTTTTGTGTACATTTAAGAGTGATCTTGTATCTGTTTGTATGAGAAACCCAGTAACCAATAAAATGACTGCATATTCCTAACTGTACCTGGTAAGGAACATGCACACTTTGTTTTTACTTTTCAAAGTTTCCTTCTAAAAGTAGGTAAGATGAAATTTATATGAAAGCATTTTTATCACAAAATAAAAAAGGTTACATGTCAAGCTCAGTGGCCTGGCAGTGTTTCTTTTCCATCCCTGCATACTCTGTCTCGCAGTGATTCACCTTGTGATGTCATCATGTGCTTAGGGAGAAATCCTTGTCTTTTCATGCTGAGTCCCACCAAGCCTGGCACTGGGCTTCTTTTCTTCCTCCAGGCAGATCATAAAGAAATGCTTTCGAGGAAGAAGATCCTGTCAAAGAGGAAGCATCACAAGACTGAGTCACTTTTCTGTGCACTAGCTGGTGACAAACAGACAGTTGCTCAAGACAAAGTGCCTTCCAATGGAAATGGATAGTGTTTGCTAATGGCCGGATCAAGAATTGGGATATGATGAATCATATTGATGGTGCTGTTACCTAAACCATTAGTTTGCGATATTATTCTTCAAATTAAATTCTGTCTAGAACTTAATATATGCAAGTATAAACTAGTATTTTGCATATAAATATGTTCCCAAGTTCATGCATGCATTTACTTGTAAAGTCAATCAGTGGGATGTTTGAACACAAACATTTGACATTGGTGATATCGATGGCATTAGCGGTCCTCTATCAACTTTAGCATCGAGCTTATTTCCATAGTCTGTTAGCTCTGCAGAAACTTCTGAATTGCACATACCTCATTCTAAAGGGTAGCAGTATTTTTTCAAACAGCTTGACTTGAAATCTTAGGACATGTTTCGGTTAAGCAGATGAAGGAGGCTTATTCGGGTTCTGCAAAATATATTTTAACACAACTGCCAGCACATGCTAGTTGTCCTGAGAGTGTTATGTTTTTATATAAAATTACACATAATTACATAACTTGAGTCTTCACATTGTGATTTGTAATGGTGTGGAGAGGAAGTGAATTTGAGCGCTAAGGAATGACTCACCCAAGCCTGGTCCTCTGCAGTCTGGCCTCTCAGACCAGCAGTTACGTCTTCAAACTATTTGGGAAGTAAAACTTGCTCCGTGGAATCCTGCTCCAGGGGACCTGGGCTTCAGGCCACTAGTGCACTCCCCGCATCCTACCCCTGCCACACAAGCCTAGAAACCTAGCCCTTGATCATGCAGGGAGAATCCAGGGCCCTCGCAGCCATGAAATCCAAGGAAGGAGACCAGGCTGAAAGTAAAGGGATGGAAAAAGAGATTTCATGTGAATGGAAACAGGAAAAAAAAAAAAGCTGGAGTAGCAATACTTATGTCAGACAAAATAGACTTTCAAAGGCTATACCAAGAGACCAAAAAGGACCCAGCGATTCCACTTCTGGGTATTTATTTGAAGAAAATCAAAACACTAATTTGAAAAAAATACGTGCATCCCTATGTTCGTTGCAGCATTATTTACAATAGCCAAAAGATGGAAGCAGCCTAAGTGTCCACCAATAGACAGTGGGATAAAGAAGAAGTACATATATACAATGAAATATTACTCTGCCATAAAATTAAAAAAGAGTGAAATCTTGCCATTTGCGACATGGATGGATGTAGAGGGTATTATGCTAATGACATGTTATATGTCAGCAATACTGCAATTAAAAAAAAACAATTTAAGGGCCAGCCGAGTGGCGCGTTGGTTAAGAGCTGGCTTGGGACGCCAGAGGGCCCTGGTTCCGATCCCACATATGAGGGCCAGTGACACTGCCCTCTACAGCTAAGATGCTGAACAACCGCTCAACCTGGAGCTGTGATGCGGTGAGTCGCTGGCGACAGCGTAGGCTGCAGCCCCTGCTGCAGTGGGCTGCCATGGGCTACCGTGTGTAGCCAGCAGCCAGCGTGAGCAGCCAGAGGGCCCTGGTTCGGATCCCACATATGAGGGCCAGTGACACTGCCCTC